AAGAACACCCCCCCCCCCCCCCGGGGGGGAAGTTTTGGCCCTAAGGGACACTTCCAACTGTGTGAAACATCATTTTTGGTTGCTAACTGCTTTTGAGGAGGTCTGCAAACAGCCGAGGTGATGTGATTTTGTTATTTTCCCTCCCTGTGGCCTTCCTTGTCAGATATTACATCTTCTCCATCCTGCTCTATGGAGCAGGAAGTTGGTCTCTGACAGAAAGCCACTTCAAGAGACTAGAAGCATTTGAAAGGTGGATTTACAGGGAGCTGTTACGTATACGCTGGGCAGACAAAATCAGAAATGAGGAGGTGGCCTGGGAAAGCCAAGGGAAATCATCAAAGCCATTAAAAAAAGCAAAAGTTAGAATATTTTGGACAAGTGACGCAATACAGCATCCTTCACTTAATCCTCCAGGGAAAGATTGAAGGCAAATGAGGTCCAAGCAGAAGAACAACATCATAGCTTCAAAACCTAAGGGACCATTTTGGACAAAATTCCACAGCACTTTTTCGTGCGGCTGTTGATAAAAATAGGATTGCCAACGTCCAGTGATGGATAGGGGAGGGGAGAGGGGGAGGAAAAGGAGGAACAGGAGGAGGAGGAAGAAGAAGAAGAAAAAGAAGAAGGAGGAGGAGAAGAGGAGGACGAGGAGGAGAAGAAGAAGAAGAAGAAAAAGAAGAAGAAGAAGAAGGATTTCCTTCCAGAGAGTGAGAAAAGACCAATGGAGAGAGAGTCTAAATGTGGCCCAGCCTTTAATGCTTTAAGCAGAGTGTATACTTACCAGCTTGCACTCTAACAAAACCGGTTCTTTAAATACAAATATACATCATGTATGTACATGATATGCAAAATGTTGAGACATGGAAAGGAGGGCTGGCAAAACCAGGGATGTATCAAGAGAACCATCGTGCTCACAAATACAGAATTTTTAAAATAGCAATAGCAATAGCAATAACAGTAGACTTATATACCGCTTCATAGGGCTTTCAGCCCTCTCTAAGCGGTTTACAGAGTCAGCATATTGCC